TTGCCTTTTCCAGCTTGCATTTCTTGGATGATAGCCCCCTTCCATCTTCAAAGTCCGCAGGATAGCATCTTCAAATCTCCCTCTCTGATTCTGACTCTCCTACCTCCCTCTTTCACTTATAAGGACCCATGTGATTACAATGAGCCCACCCCAGTAATCCCCATCTCACTGTCAGATGAGTAGCAACCTTAATTCCATCTCCAGCCTTAATTCCCCCTTGCTGTGTAATAGAGCATATTCACAGTTCCCGCAATTAGGACATTTTGGCTGGGGCCTGGGGGGCAGTCATTATTCTGCTTACCACTCTGTATATGGGTTTGTTTTAGGGGTTTTTTGGGGGGTGGCTTTTTTTTAACCCATTTTTCCCCCCCATCATGGTAAGTGTACTCTTTAATCCCCATTTCCTATTTCTGCCATCTCCCCACCCACCTTCCCCTCTGGTACTTGTTTTCTGTAATTAAGAGTCTGTTTCTTAGTTTGTCTCTCTTTTTTTTTCCTTTTGCTCATTTGTTTCCTTAATTTCCACATATGAGTGAGATAGAGATCATCCATATGATATCTGTCTCTCTCTGACTTATTTCACTTAGCATTATACTCTCCAGCTCCATCCATGCTTTTGCAAATGCCAAGATTTTGTCCTTTTTTATGGCTGGATAATATTCCATTATGTGTATATACCATATCTTATTTATCCATTCACCTATCAATGGACATTTAGGGTGCTTCCATAGTTTGGCTGTTGTAAATAATGCTGCCATAAGTGTAGGGGTACATGTATCCCTTTGAATTTGTGTTTTTGTATTTTGGGGGTAAATATGCAGTAGTGCAATTCCTGGATCATAGGGTAGTTCCATTTTTAATTTTTTGAGGAACCTCCATACTGTTTTCCACAACGGTTGCACCAATTTGTATTCCCACCAACAGTGCACAAGAGTTCCTTTTCCTTCACATCCTTGCTAATATTTGTTGTTTCTTGTGTTATTAATTTAGCCATTCTGACAGATGTAAGGTGATTTCTCATTGTAGTTTTGATTTGCATTTCTCTGGTGATAAGTGATATTGAGCATCTTTTCATGTATCTGTTGGCCATCTGTATGTCTTCTTTGGAGAAATGTCTTCATGTCTTCTGCCCATTTTTATTTTTATATTTTTTTAAAGATTTTATTTATTTATTTGACAGAGAGCGAGAGAGCACAAGCAGAGTGCAAGGGAGAAGCAGGCTCCTTGCTGAGCAGGGAGCCCGATGTGGGGCTCAACCCCAGGACCCTGGGATCATGACCTGAGCCGAAGGCAGATGCTTAACCATCTGAGCCACCCAGGCGCCCCTTCTGCCCATTTTTAACTGGATTATTTGGTATTGAGTTGTATTGGTTCTTTATAGATTTTGGATACTAACCCTTTATTGGATACGTCATTTGCAAATATCTTCTCCCATTCCATAAGTTGCCTTTTAGTTCTGTTGATTGTTTCCTTCACTGTGGATGTATATGGTTTTTTTGTTTGTTTTGAGAAAGAAAGAGAGAGTGTGAGCATGAGTGGGGGGGAGGGGGGTGAGATGGAGAGAGAGAGAATCTTAAGCAGACTCCAAGTCCATTGCAGAGCCCAAGGCAGGGCTTGATCTCACAAGCCTGAGATCATGACCTGAGCCGAAATCAAGAGTCAGACATTTAACTGAGCCACCCAGGCACCCCATGGATGTATATGTTTTTTGAACACAGATCATTAAATATGCATAAATTAAAAGTGTATATAGCATACCTCCACTGGAATTCTATATTCTATTGCTAGGAAGCCCATTACTGTTTATTCCATACAGAATATTTAGTTGGTGTGTTTTCTTTCTTTCTTTTTTTTTTTTCTTCTTTTTCTTTCCTTAGTTGGTGTATTTTCTAAGTGCTTGTGGTTCTTGGGGTCTTGGGGAAGCTTTTAATTAGGTTTTTAGTTGTTTGTTTTTTTTAAATAAATATCACATACAACTTACCATTTGGCCATTTTTAAAGTATATGATCCAGTGGCGTTAATTACATTCACAGTGTTGTGCAACCATTACCACTACCCATTTCCAGAATTTATTCATCATCCCAAATAGAAACTCTATTCATTAAACAATAACTCTCCATTTTCCCCTTCTCGCAGCCCGTGATTACCTCTATTGTACTTCCTGTCTCTATAAATTTGACAATTCTAAGTACCTCATGTAAGTGGAGTCATATAATATGTGACCTTTTGTATCTGGTTTAATTCACTGAGCGTAATGTTTTCAAGGCTCATCCATGTTATAGCACTTACCAGAATTTCAAGAAAAAAAGCTGAGTAATATTCCATTGTATGTATATACCACATTCCGTTTATCCATTCACCTGTTGATGGACACTTGGGTTCTTTCCACCTTTTGGCTATTGTGAATAACGCTGCTGTGACCAGTGGTGTACAAGTATTTGAGTGCCTGTTTTCACTTCTTTGGGGTATATACCTAGGAGTGGAATTGCTGGATCAGATGGTAATTGTATGTTTAATTTTTTGAGGGTATTTCTCAAACTTTTAAGAACTTTTCATAAATCATGAAGATTATTCCATTAACTGTGATATAAATTTCAAGTATTTTCCTCTGTCATTTGTCTTTTGATTTTACTTTTGTTGTTTTTTGTTCATGTGAAAGTTTTTTGTTTTCTTCTGCTTTTCACCTTTACCTACTGGAATTTACCAATCTGCTTTGGTTGCTTTTGGATTTTGTGTTGTTGTTGTTGTTGTTTTATAAGATTTTATTTATTTATTTGATAGAGAGAGACACAGCAAGAGAGGGAACACAAGCAGGGGGAGTGGGAGAGGGAGAAGCAGGCTTCCCGCCGAGCAGAGAGCCCGATGTGGGGCTCGATCCCAGGACCCTGGGATCATGACCTGAACCGAGGGCAGACGCTTAACAACTGAGCCACCCAGGCGCCCTGCTTTTGGATTTTGAGTCATCATTTCATTGTTAGGTTTCCCCATGTTATAAAGTAATCTACCATATTTCCTCCTAGTATTTGTATGGTTTCTGTTTTCTTTTAACATTAAAAGTATTTGGGGTTTATTCTGGTATATGATGGTGTAATATATGGATACATTTTTATCTTTTCCCAAATGAGTATCCAGTTGCCCCAACATTATTTATTACAGAAACGATCCTTTTCCCCTTTGAAATACCATCCTTATAATAAATTCAGTTTCCATATAAACTTCAGTCTTTTTCTGGCCTTTCTATTGTGTTCTGTTGGTCTGTCTCTAGAATCCAATATTTATTCATCAAACAACGCATTATTAATTTATTATATGCTAGGTTGGTTACAATAGCTAGTAAGAAAGGCTGTATTTCTGTGTGGCTCAGTTGGTTGAGTGTCCGACTCCTGATCTCATGATTGTGAGTTCAAGCTCTGCATTGGGCTCCACGCTGGAGCCTACTTAAAAAAAAAAAAAAAGAGCTTTGGGGAGCTTTAGGAGAAACAAAACAAAAAGATCAACAGATGAATAAGTAAATGAAAATCTAATTACAACTGATAAAAGTGTTATGAAGACAGGGGCAAGATGTGGAAGAGAGAATCAGGCCTGAAAGCTTTTTTGAAAATGTGAGTTTTAATTTGAGACTTGAAGGATGAGAAAAGCAGCCATACAAAGAGCCCAGGACAGGAGATGGAAGAACCTGATGAGAGGTCTAAGATGGAAAGACCTACATTTGTTTTAGAAAGCCCTGTGATATGGTACCTGGAGAGGAAAGGAGACAGTGTTCAATATGACAATATATTATCCTTGGTTGAAAGAGAATGACAACAAAGATAGGCAGGGACTCGCTTTGCCAAGAGCCTGTGAACCATGGCAATGACTTTGGAATTTATTGGAATTTTACCAGTGACTTTGGAAATGCAATGAGAAGGCTATGGAAAAATTTAAGCAGGGATTTTCATTTTGATTGGCATCAGCATCATGTTGTTAAAAACACAGATGCTGGGGCATGAGGGTAGCTCAATCCGACTCTTGGTTTTTGGCTCAGGTCATGATCTCAGGGTCATGAAATACAGCCCCGCATCAGGCTCTACACTCAATGGGCAGTCTACTTTGAGATTCTTTCCCTCTGCCCCTCCCCCCCACTTTCTCTCTCTCTCTTTCTCTAACATAAATCTTAAAACACACACACACACATACACAAATGCTTTATTTATATGAAGTGCCCAGAAACTGGAAAATTCATAGAGACAGAATTAATGGTTCTCTGCTATTAGTGATTACTGGGGGCTGGAGGGAATGGAAAATGATGAATGACTCCTTAATGGGCACAAGGTTTCTATTTGGGGTGATGAGAATGTTCTGGAACTAGATAGTGGCAATAGTTTCATGACATTGAGAATGTATCACAAACTACTAAATTGTACTCTTTAAAATGGGGGGATTTATGTTCTGTGAATCTTACCTCAATTTAAATATATATAGGGACGCCTGGGTGGCTCAGTCAGTTAAGCGTCTGCCTTCAGCTCAGGTCATGATCCCAGGGTCCTGGGATGGAGCCCCACATCGGGCTCCTTGCTCAGCAGGGAGCCTGCTTCTCCCTCTGCCTGCCACTTCCCCTGCTTGTGCTCTCTTTCTCTCTCTGACAAATAAATGAATAAAAATCTTAAAAAAAAAAAAAAGAAACCTCATACCATATCTTTAATATATATATATGCTTTTTAAGTATATATAGATATATACATATAGGCAAGTATATGCACACATATGCCTTGTCTCTACTCCTATAGATTTTGATTCAGTCTGGGGTGGTCTCAGACCTTTATAATAAATTGTTAACAGGCTTCCTGGATGATTCTAATCTTTATAAAATTGAGAAACCCCAGCTTAATTTCTTTTCTTGCTTCCTTCTGGCACCATATGAGCTCTCATCATATTTGTGCTTTCATGTGCTCTTCAGAAATTGCACAGCAATATTTGAGACTTACATAAGCCATTCACTTTTTAAGGTGATTTTCATTTTGTCTCTCTGGTCTGCTATAGAATTTTTTATTTCTCTTAAAAGAATAAAACTGCTTGTATTTTTTTTTTTTTCCTTTTTCAGAGCTGGAGTCCAGGTGTGAGAAATTTCCACAAAAAGATATTTCTGAAGTAGAGTCATTCAGTTGGGAAATAATGGAAAGCCTTAAATGCTGTGATTTTGATGGCTCTAGTTTGAGAGATGGCTGGGAATACAAAGGCCAATTTGAAAGACAACAAGTAACTCAGGAATGCTGTTTCAAGCAAGTAAAAGTCATGTATGAAAACATGCCCACTTTTGAGCATCGTACATCCCTCACTTTACATCAGAACAATGAGATTGGTGAAAAACTGATTGAATGTAATGAATGTGGAAAAGCATTTAGCCGTGGCTCACACCTTATTCAGCATCAGAAAACTCACACTGGTGAAAAACCTTTTGAATGTAAGGAATGTGGGAAGGCCTTTAGTCGTGCCTCACACCTTGTTCAACATCAGAGAATTCATACAGGTGAGAAACCTTATGACTGTAAGGAATGTGGGAAGGCTTTTGGCCGTACTTCAGAACTTATTCTACATCAAAGACTTCATACTGGTGTCAAACCCTATGAATGTAAAGAATGTGGAAAGACCTTTAGACAGCATTCACAACTTATTCTGCATCAAAGAACTCACACAGGTGAGAAACCCTATGTATGTAAAGACTGTGGGAAGGCTTTTATTCGTGGCTCACAACTTACTGTTCATCGGAGAATTCATACAGGTGCTAGACCTTATCAATGTAAAGAATGTGGGAAAGCCTTTAGACAGCATTCACAGCTTACTGTCCACCAGAGGATTCATACTGGTGAGAAACCCTATGAGTGTAAGGAATGTGGGAAGGGCTTTATTCATAGCTCAGAAGTTACTCGACATCAAAGAATTCATTCTGGGGAGAAACCCTACGAATGTAAGGAATGTGGGAAGGCCTTTAGACAACACGCACAGCTTACACGACATCAGAGAGTTCACACTGGTGACAGACCTTATGAATGTAAGGACTGTGGGAAGGCGTTTAGTCGTAGTTCATACCTTATTCAACATCAGAGAATTCATACAGGTGACAAACCCTATGAATGTAAGGAATGTGGGAAAGCCTTTATTCGTGTTTCACAACTGACCCATCATCAGCGAATTCATACTTGTGAGAAACCCTATCAATGTAGGGAATGTGGAATGGCCTTTATTCGTAGTTCACAACTTACTGAACATCAGAGAATTCATCCTGGGATCAAACCTTATGAATGTAGAGAATGTGGGCAGGCCTTTATTCTTGGCTCACAGCTCATCGAACACTACAGAATCCATACTGGTTAGAAAGCCTTGAATGTTAGGGGTGTAGGAGCCTTTACATGGAGTTCACACCTGACTCAATATTAGATAATGTGTATGTAATGTGATTAATGTGAAAACCTTCACTTGTCACTTCCATTACGGAACATCGGGTAACTCATAGCAGAAGAAAATCCAATAAATGTGGGAATTCTTTTTGCCTCACACTCACTGCTTAACAAGCATCAGAAAACTTAGGTTGAAATAAATATTAATATGAATATAGAAAACCTTTCTATTACCACTCAAAATGTGTTAAACTTCTGAGAATTCCTAATATTAAGATATTTTGTGAATGTGCCTTTTACCATACATACATCTTACTTAACATTATCTCAGCTCCACCAGTTACCAACTGTATAGCACTGGACAAATAATGCAGTCTTCCTGTTCCTCAGTTTACTTGTTTTTAAGCAGTGATCATTATACTTTTTTTTTTAATATTTTATTTATTTATTTGACAGAGACAGAGATAGCGAGAGCAGGAACACAAGCAGCAGGAGTGGGAGAGGGAGAGCAGATTTTCCCGCGGAGCAGGGAGCCCAATGTGGGACTCGATCCCAGGACCCTGGGATCATGACCTGAGCCAAAGGCAGACGCTTAATGACTGAGCCACCCAGGTGCCCCAGTGATCATTATACTTACCCAATAGAGTTTTCCTATCAGATATTTTATATAAAGCCTGTATTCAATAAATATTAGTTACCGTTGTTAATTAGTAACGGTATTAGTGTTAAGGAGTTCTTGTGAGAGGAGGCCTTCTGAATGTGTCAAGTATTAAAAAGCTTTCATAACCACTTGTTAATGATAATTCATTCTAGAAAACAGTAGTCAAGTGTAATTATCATGCGGTCGTCATGATATTTAAAGCTAGAAAGTCACAAGACTAGAAGCTAACAGAAGAGTAGCCAAAAGAAATCTGCCCATTTGGAAATCTAAAGCCACCTTCAGGTAGAACTTGAAAAGCAGTCAAAAAGTTCTGCACATCAAAACCAGTTCAGTATAGCCAAAGCTGTGTTCCTGTCAACCCAAGGAGTGAAGGTAGGGGCTTTGTTCTCCAAATGTAGATCTCCAGCACCTACTTGTTGGCAGTTACATACTAAGCACATTGAATGAATGGTCAACTCTAAACATTAGAGGGAAATAAAACCCTAATCAGCGGTAAGAATGATCATTAAAAACAAAAAATAATAAAATAAAAAACAACAGTAGACTTAATATGAAGGTTATTTATTTAACAATATAAGATGGACAATTAACAACCCTGATCTAGAAAAGAAAATATTTAGCATTATGAATAAGGAAGGGGTGAATATTCCTTTTAAAAAGCTACTATGCATGATTTTAATGTATTAGGAAATTTGAATAGATTTTTACCAAAATATCAAAGTTCACAAAGATATGGAATACCTGAATAAATCAATGATTGTAGAAGGACATAAAAAGTCAGTCTGCCCCTTCAAAAAAAATAGTTTAACCTACTAAAACTTCAAGGAACAGATAGATAATCCCTGAGAGAAGCTTGCCAGTTTATTTTTAAGGCTAAATAAAATTAGGATAAAAAAAATTCAACAAGGATGGCTCCCAAGAAAGAAATTGTAGATGATTATCATTTGTGAAAATAAATATAAATAAAATCCCTGCTAATTGAATCCAGTCTCTTTAAAGTTAGAAGCTCAGGGGCGCCTGCGTGGCTCAGTCAGTTAAGCGTCTGCCTTCGACTTTGGTCATGATCACAGGGTCCTGGGATTGAGCCCTGCATCAGGCTCCCTGCTCAGTAGGGAGCCTGCTTCTCCCTCTGTTGCTCCTCCTGCTTGTTCTCTCTCTCTGTCAAAGAAATAAATAAAATCTTAAAAAGAAGCTCATTCTAAATGGAATATCTAGAATTTCACCTATTGTGGGTTAATTATGTTTTCAGAATTTTGATATCACTCCAGATGACAGTGATAGGGCAAAGAGCCCTGATCCAACCCCAGTGATACCTGGATCAGAGCTTGTGAATGAATCTGGGGAATCTCAAGAAGCATCCCCTCAGTCCAGGCAGTGTCAGGGCCAACAGGCCTGTTGTGTCCTGAAGCCATCCATCTTCTCAGTCATCCTGAGTGTTCACTAAGGCACCTGTATTTTCTACATGTGTCACTGCCTACACAGGGTTAGAAAGTAGTATTCTGTATGTCATTTTTAAGTGGTTTCATGATTAGGATGTACATTTGGAGGGGCTCAAAGCTATGACATTAATAAGTGTTACTTTGAATAGTTAAAACACATGCACAGGATAAATATTTTAAAGTTTTGATTTGGTGTACAGACATAAGTCAATGTCCACACCCTTCCCACCCTGTTACTGTATGTACCTATCACTGTATCAAGTTCTTGTATATACTTCCTGATTTTTATGTTTACCTCCTAAGTGTAGACATGTACATAACAGTCTTTATAAAAGTTTTTTTTTACATAAATGGTAACAAATTTCTATACTTGCTATTTTTGCTTATCCATAAACCTTGAAATTGGGTCATATCGATACATACATAGTTGCCTTATTCTTAACAGCTGCATAGTATATGTGTTTCATTATTTATCCTGTCGATTTAGTTTTTTTCATTATCCTTTGCTTTCAAACAATCCTATAATAAATATCCTTGCACATAAATTATTTTGTATATGTGTGATATCTCTTTAAGATAAATTCCTAAAAGTGGAAATGCTAGATCAAAATGTATATACAGTTTTGAAACTTTCTGTTCACACAGAATCTTATAATGTACCCCTAGTGCCCCCATCATCAAGCTTCAGTAATTATCAGCTAATGGCCAGTCTTGTTTTATCTGTATTCCTACCCTCTCCCCCACCCTCATGTCAGTGGGAAGTAAATCCCAGCTACATAATTTCATCCATAAATATTTCAGTATGTATCTCTAAAATATATCACAATTTGAGAAAAGATTTTCACTCCTTAAAAAAAATGGCGGGGTGCCTGGATGGCTCATTCGGTTAGGCGTCCAACTCTTTTTTTTTTTTTTTTAAAGATTTTATTTATTTATTCATGAGAGACAGAGAGAGAGAGAGAGGCAGAGGGAGAAGCAGGCTCCCAAGGAGCAG